TCTTTAGGGTTCCAAAGGGAAACCAAACAGAACCACACCGCTCAGTTTTCAGAAGTCCTTATATAACTTTTTGGGAAGGACCAAACAGCAGTTTCACGGCCAAAGGCGATACTGTGGGATACATATATATATATATATGTATAAGTATCCTTGTGAAAGACACAAGCAGACTTTGGGTGGTGTGGCCAAACCCTTGCCATTTTGCAAAACCTCAATTTACGGAACACTCACTTGCGGTAGCCTCTCACCCTTATTGTTAATAGATTGGGTGGGGCAACGTGATGGCGTGAAGGACATAATGCATCATCATTGGAAAACCAGCTTGAGGGGGCTGGTGTCAGGGGGGACTTGATTTTTGGAAGTTCAACTTTCCGTTTTGAAGTTGTTTTGCGGGTCCTTCCACGTTTATCACGCAACCAGGTGTTGTTTGCCGAGAAGAGGGAGAGCTCAGTTGTCTTGTTTGGGAGAGGTGCTGTTGGCGCTCTGGGCATTTTGGGGTCCGCACGTCTTTGCTCTGAGTGTAAAGTCTTTGGTCTGAGCGCCCGAATCGCCATGCTTCTGGTAGGATGGCATGATGTTCTAGGCACAATTTCTCGGTTGAATCCATTTTGGCCAATGGGACTGCAGCACAACCTCCGGATTTGCACTGGTGGGTGTTTTGACCATGAAAGTGGTCGGCGGAAAGCCACAGCCACCCTTCAACCTCTCCCCCAAAACAGGGATGCAAGGATCTGAATCTTGCGGCGCTCTGCCAGGTGTGCCATGGCCAAAGACCGGTTCCTTTACTTGGGGATTTGCAGGGATGTTTTTTTTTCTTCATGGATTCCTAAGGGAGCGTTCGGAACCGTGACCCCATCGGCCGAAGAGTTTCGGAGCTTTGAGCGCACTGCCCAAGGAGCTGCGCTGTGGGCGCTTCGACCCGCAGCTGCCGGAGGTTCGGCAGCAGTTGCTGGCTCAGCTGCAGCTGCGGCCCAACTCGCGGATCCAGGAGCACGGAGAGAGGTCCAAGTAGGGACGCTTGGGGTTCAGAAAATGTTTCGAGTTTCGAGTTTCTTTTGGATGCTTAGGAGACCAACTTAAAAGCCAAGCAGTTTTCTGGAGAAGGATACACAGTGCCAGCCTCAAGGAAGGCAACCGGGCATGGCAGAAACTGGTCGGCTTCGGAGCCGCCGGCCAGGAAATGGGTGGATTCGCTGGGGGGCTGAACCAGGGAATCTGGATTGTCACCTCTGGCAACCAGAAGCTGGTGCTGAAGCAAGTGAGGCCGCGGGGCTCCTTCGCTGCTTGTGTGCACGAACAGGAGTGAGCTGAGGGTTTGTAGTGTTCATGTTTCGAGATACACTGTTCATAGGGTTCTGAATGGATGTCGCTTGAGTTGCTTGGCTAGGCCGATACGAATCGATTCGCATTTGGATGCCCGCAAACTGGGCGGTGCTCTTGGTCAAAAGGTTTCCAACATTTTGGGCGTGCTCTTGTGCTGCCAAGAGGCAACCACTTTGTGATAACCCTCCCTGTGCATACTTGGTGAGGTGCTTACGGGCACTGGACATGGCATTTTTCCTCCGATATTACCTTTGTATTGGTTTTGCAACATGCTCCTCTTGATTGCCTGACTGAGCATCACCCCCACAGATACAGCGACAGGTACAAGGGTTGATCAGATGAATCAAACCAGCTTCGGGGATATCAAAAGGCCCTTAAAATGGACTTCGCACCCCTGTCCCCCTGAGCGTATGGTCAATGCAGGTGCCAGCGCATTGCCAGCAACATCCTCACGGAGGCTGAAAACTTCGTGAGGATCGTGAAGGACCACCCCGAGTGCTTTGGCATGAGTTTTTTTTGCAGCCCTGCACTGCAAGCCAACCGAGGGTATTTCAAGTTGGTATGTGTCAACTGTAGTCGGGCCTTTGCTAGCTTCATTTTCACTATGTGCACAGCGCCGTCATGAAGCCAATCATTGCTTTGACTCATGCCTAATTATGATGAGTTCTGCTAGTGTGGAACGTATGTTCCTTGAGGAGCGTGGAGGTGGAGCCATCAGGAGTTCTGCCCGGAATTCCACCTGAAGAGAGAGAGACGGAGAGAGACTTTTTGGGTGGAGCTTTTCTGATGGTACCCTTTGTGGGGTTGGCTAAAAGGGAAACAACAGGAAACTGCCCATTTTGGGGAGGGCTCCTCATTCGGAGACAGCATACCAGTCATTTCCATGACTTTCAGAATCATTGGGAGTTTCTTCAGTGCCTTTGCAGATGCTGCAAGTTCCGGGTGGAATCGCCCCAGAGTTTCATTTTTGGGTTTCTCAAAAAAGATTCTTTGCAGATGAACCACTGGGTTCTTGCGTCCTTTTGCACCACACAAATGCCACCACACAAATGCAACCCTGGATCGCCTTGACCAAGGATAAGCAGAGATCCTTTGATCGCCTTTCCAGTGCCGCTTGTCTGATGAGACGCCAGGTTGGATCGGCTCAAGCTGCTTGCTGGCAGTTTTATTTCAAGTCTCAGAAATCAACTGCGGGTGAATTGTAGCAACCCGGCAAAGGCTTGTCCTTTCCGCCCAGCTTTCTGCTACAATGTCATTCAGTGATTTTGTAATCGTGGCAAGGATGCGACTGATCTTCGAGACGTATATACATTGATTTCTGCCTTTTTATTGTCAAATCCCGAGCACCGCTGTGCGTGTCAGGGAGAGCAGTCCCCGGTGGCCTGTGGACATGCTTGAAACTACTGCCTCCTTCAAACTCATTGCCAAACTTAGCTTACACTACACTTTTCATCATTTTAGCTTTCAACCAGTCCAATTCTGGTCAAGAATTGGCTAGACACATAAAATGATCCGACTCCAATGCCTCAAGCCCAATGTGACCAATGCCTTGAGAGCACTGAGCGCACTTGGAACAGGTTGTCAAGGGAAAGCGATTTGCACGCAACTCGCCTTGATGCCTCCTTGACTCTGGGAGAGGCCCGATACCGTTTAGCATGAGCCGTGGTCCTTTGAGAGTGGATCGTGTTTATCGGCTTGTGCCACCACAGGTAGTTCGGGTGTGTGTCTTTTCGAGGGTATCCCATTTTTGTGCCTTTAAAGGGAAATCAAAAGGAACATCACCATTGTGGTGGTTCCTAAAATAAGACACACCGACCGACGATTTTTTTTCCTTATTAGTGATGCCTCATGTCGTAAGATTGGACCGGCAAAGCGGCCTTCGGCAAACAAATGGCTTCAAGAATCGGTTTCTTTCACCAAGCTGCCTTCCCATTGAAAGGCTAAAGCAAAGTTGGGCGTTGCCTAAACTTTAGAGCCTCCGGCTCAGTCCGCCGACATTGTCTTCTCCCTTTTCTCCTTCTTCCTCTCTCCCTTGTCTCCCTCGTTTGTTCTGTCGTCCTCTCTCCCTCCCTCTGCTCCCCATCCTCCCCATCCCCCCAAGCCTTTCTCTCCTCAATCTCCCTCTCTCTCTCTCTCTCTTTCTCTCTGTTTCTCTGTCTCTTTCTGTCTCCCTGTCTCCTTCCTGTCCACGCCCCTCTACAGAAAAAGGGTACCCTAATTCGAACCTCTCTACTCTCTCACTTTCTCGCTCTTTCTCCGTGTCTCTCTGTCTCTCTCTCTGTCTTTCTGTGTCTCTCTTTCTCAGTCTCTCTCTTTCTCTCTCTTTCTCGCTCTCTGTGTCTCGCTCTCTCTCTTTCTCTCTCCTGCTCTCTCCCTGTCTCTCTCGGGCACTGCCCCATGACCCTGAACTGTCATCTCACTACTGGCTTTCCCCTTGATTTCCCCTTCATGTCCTTGACACGTTTCCCATGATGTCCTGGTCATGTCCCTTCCATGCCTTTCAACTCCCCCTTCATGTCCCTGACATTTTCTCGGTATGTCCGCTTCATTTTCCATGTATGTCCCGTTCTTTCGTTGCGAGTCATTTCCCTACATCTCCCGTCGTGCCGATTGGTTTCCTTGTGCTTTGTTTCCCTTTCATTCCCCCTGCATTTCTGTCCCTTTCATGTCCCTTTCAGTTCCCCTTTGTTTCCCTTTCATTTCCCCTTGCTTTCCCGTCATGTTGACTTCCTATTTCCTCCCCTCATTTCCTTGCACTTCCTTGCATTTCCCCTTTCTCCCCAGTATTTCCCGCAAAACACACGGTTTTTCCAGCGTTTTCGCAAAGAGGACGTAAAAAACAGAGTTTTTCCAGATTTTCGGCAAAAGGAGGCAGGAACCCCTAACCAGCAAAGAGCCGGCAGGGGGAATCGAGCCTGGGACCCCTGTTTTGCGACCTCCCCGAAGACTACGTTTAGTGGAGCGTCATCAAATTGCCGCGCGGTCCGGAGGGGGGGGGGGTGGCGACGCCGAAACCCTGCGTCCCGGGGGGGACTAAGGGGGGGGGGGGTTATCCTCTATTCTCTCTTAAGTATCCGACACGCCGAACAATGTCGGCGGACTTGGAAGCGGGCATTTGGCAAGGTCGTGCTGCGAAAGACTAGTTTCAATCAGTGCTTTTGGGAAACCCCTTCGTACGTATTGGTGTCATGTCTTTTCTTATGCACGATTCAGCGTGGTGACTTGACGGCCGCACTCGCTGACAGCCAAATCAAGTCAGATTGAAAAATCTCAAATCAAGTCAGATTGGGAATCTCAAATCAAGTCAGATCAAATCCAAACACTTCCACCAAAGACCTGTGAACGTCTGGCCTTGTGCCCCTTCATGCGCCCATCTTGATAGGTGATCCTTTTTTTTAAACACGAGTTTGATGTTTGTATCCAACTGGTTTCCGTTTCATTCTCAAAGACCCCGATGGAATCATCAGTAGCTTTTTGTCCCAAACACACCTCCCTTTGTCCTTGCACCTCCGCGCTTAGGAAGCTTCTCAGCTGCATAGGCGCGGCCTCCGGCCACAGACGGGCCCAAGGTTCAGAAGCAAATGTTTTTCACAAAGCGCGGGGGGGGGGGGGGGGGGTGGGGGGGCCTGAACGGGTGGATTTTTTTGGGTTCCCTTGAGAACCACCCTAAAACGATATCCATATTTTCCCGGCGATTTAAACCATCACCGTTTCGAAAGCCATGCTGAGATGAGCTGTCTTTGGGCTATTTTATGAGGACATATGGGGACATATGAGACACTGCGCAGATTGGCGACTTGGTCCAGAGTCTCAGACATGTGAGGACTATACCGACAAATTCTAATTTCCTGGCAAACGCAGGAATCCTGCTCATGTCTTGAGCGTGACATAGATGCAACAAGTTCCAGGATGAGATTCTCGCAGGGTATTCATCGTATAGGGCTTGTGCCGGAAAGCCGCGCTAGTTCCCTCCTTTCTGCGCATGGGGGATGTTTCAGCCAAGGCTGGGACCGGATTACCACCAAAGTCGACCAGATATGAAGCCACAGCCATGGAGCCCAAAGGGACACACCCACCTTTTGATTCAAGAATGGGGTTTGATTTTTGTTTTTAAATCCCAGCCCAACCCTCAAAAGGGTAACCTAGATATGCACACACTGTATTTGCAAAGGTAAATCAGAGGGAGCTCGAAGCCTCGACGTGGAGTTTCATATTCCATTGCGTTCGCTGCAAGGGCGGAACTGAGGGCAACCAAATGGGGAAACCCCGTTGGTTTCTCTTGGTTTTCTTTGACAGGACCCAAGAAAGGCGTACTCAACGAAGACACCCAGGGAAGGGAACCCATGCGCCTCTCTGGGGAAAAGACACATCGACCGATTGAATAATGGGCGTGTCTGTGAGGCTACCCTGTACCCAGGGTTGCTTTGTAGGGGAACAAGGGAAACTGGTTTCGGGTCCCCTAAAATCATGGTGTCTTTTTGGTTTCTACTGTACCAAGCCAAAAAGGGCATCCTCAAAAATCGGCAAGCCTAAAAATCGGACAGCCACCGTTTTGGTCGGATCCCCGAGTACCAAAACCAACGGGAAAGCCGCCGGTTTTGCGATATCGCAGGCCCGGAGGGCAAATTCAGCGACGTGATTTGCATGAAGAAGAGCCCCGGAGAGCGGCTCTGTGAGTTCGTGGCCGCCAAATTCTACGTGCCTTTGTCGTTGATTTCGTCCTGGTGGGTTGGTTTCAACGACAGAAACTAGAACAACATTTGGCAAAGTCGCTGAGTCGGACAGTTGTTGATTTGATGATGTTGGAACCTCCAAAAAGAGGTGTCGTTTTGGTTTCCCTTGGAAACCACTCCAAAGGGGGTACCCTCAAAAAGGGCACATCCATTCGGTCGGACCCAAGGAACAAAGAGATCCAACACCCACAAGCCAAGCCTACACCCAGCTTGCGTCTGCTGTGCCAATCACTGCTTGATGTTTCTTAGTTGCTTGATCTTTTGTTGGGTTGCGTACACAGCTTTCTTCGGCTGAAGCATATTGAGGGGTTGTCAAGTGAAGGAGTTGAGGGAAGTGTATTTGAAGCTTTCTTTGCATCGTGCCAGTCACCCTGCTTGCAGGAAGATGTGGTGTTTGTCGGGAGGGTACAAGATGTGTAGGAACATGTAGGACCTCTGCAAATTATGGCGACCTCACAAAGGGTTTTGGTTTGCAACCACAGCCATGATGAGGGCTTCTTGCTTAAGGATTCGTGAAGTACCACCATTTGCCCACAATTACTCTTTAAATGATAGCGACAAGGGAGTTCACCCAGTTCACCCCCCAAAAAGGTGCCAGGCCCCGGCAGAGCCAAGCCCTCAACATCCGCACGGCTTTCCCGTGGCAATTGGCGTAGGCGAAGCAGATGGTTCTGCTGCAGCGGGCTCTGCAGCAGGTGGGCCAGGCCTTGGCGCGGTTCCACCAGCGCCCCTCGACTTTTCGTCGGGTTTTCCGTTGGCTTCAGGCAGCCCCGGGGTACCGACGCCGTGTGAAAGCGGGAAGGACTTAAACGACACGGCTGAGCCGTTTGGAAGGCGTTTTGTTGAGTCGACCTTTTTGGGGTTGATGGAAAGGGAAACTGAAGGGAAATCGGGCTCCATTCTGAGTGTTCCCTGTTTAGAGAACACCAAAGAGACTGAGACGGGTATTCTTCACTTTGAGGGCAATTAATTCCTGTCGGTCCGCAATGAGTGAGCGCGGATGGAAGCCTTGCCGGAGTTGATTTTCCGACGCCGCAACACCGTCATTGGCTTGGCAGCGCAGGTTTTCCTTTTCGTTCCCGCATCCTCCTCTTCTTGCATAATAAATCAATGAAGGGGTGTGTATTTTTCTTTGGGGGAACCCCATTTGGTTGGTTTGAAAGGGAAACAATAAATCAACCTTTAAGGGTTGATCAAAAGGTGCTTACACAGGATGACCATTGGTGGAAACCACTAAAATGCTGATATTTCCCACTAAATGGGAAGAGTTACACATGGTCATATGGGGGCCAGGCATATTGATCAACCCCCATATGCCATTTTGTGGGGTCCCCTTCATTGTGAGACAAGGTGTATTTGCGCAGCTGGCACCCACCTTCCCTCACAAGACATGTTCCAGGTGGGCATCCACGGAGCCACTCATTTTATCGGTCTTATCGTTTGTGTCAGGTGAGTTGGGAGCACAGATTTGGACTATTCGCACACCTCCAGAAGGATAGAATATTTGGTATTCAATTTAATGGGGGAAAACCTCAAACATGGACACAATGCCCATAATCCACTAAAGTGCCCCCCCATTGGACTTCATACCTATTTGATCCGGATCGCTCTTAGTTTGTGAATCCAGCGCCAAGTGAGTCTTCTTTTAAAAGACGCCTTTTTCCGGCCATCCCTGCCGGAAGGGAGCAGTTGAAGCCCCAAGTGGGACTCCGAGTTCCAGCTCTAGGGGTGGGTGGAGGAGTTGCAAGTATTGGGAGAAAAAGGGGCCTGCATCCAAGGAAGATGATTTGGATGTTGTTGGCCAAAACAAGAAAACGGGCTTTCCCTGATAGCTCGCCTACGAACCAATTCTGTGATTTTGTTCCCGTAGTCAAGGTGTTGGACTTCTGTCCCCCTCCCTCCTCTTCCTGTTGGTTTGTCGGATATGAGGTTCGGTCAAACTTCCAGTCGATGATCGGTTTGGGTTCGGGAATTGGGGCGACTCACTCAGATTCAACCGACTAGCTCCAATTCAACCGCGCAGACGCACAGAAGCCAGGGGCACTCAAATAATTTTTGCCAAACACACCAGGGGGACAAGCCTCAAGTTTCCCCCAACACAAGACTCAGTGTTCATTTCCAAACGCTTTGTGCTCTGAGACCTGAGTCCACTGAGGCTATGAGGAACAGCACGGGGACTTTCAGCCTTCCAACATCTACTATCAGGAGAAGACGGGGGTGGTCACCTTCATCGATGCCTGGGCCAAAGGACCAAAGGAGCAATCAAAGCCCGCGCAGCCATAACTGGGTGCAAATATCCACCCTTTGGATTCTTCACATGTGGGTAGACCCCTCACCAGGTTGTGATTGTGACAAGAGCCAAAGGGCCAAAGGAACTCAACGTCACACAAATCCTTAGGCCGGCAAGTGGCGAGACGATAAACCGAGAAACTTCGCAAGATACAAGTCTGTGCTGCTGAACATTTTAGAGCTTGCGGTTGCCCTTGTGGGTAGAGGTGGGCAGCTTGCCAGATTCTGTGTATGCGTAGGTTGATGTGTGATGATACTTGTGTTTGCCTTTTTCTACATTGCTAACAGTCTTTGCTAGCGGCTGGCTTGTGCAAACAGCTCTGCTTTTGTTCTCTAGGTGGCTGGGGAGCGTGCCAAGGTGGGCGGCATGGGGGTGCCGACCATGGGCAATGACGTGGATCACTTTCACCAATGCGCAGGGCACTCAAATCCCACGCCAGTGGAGATCAGTCCAATTTCAGGCACCCTTTTGAATAGACTTCACTGAGAAACCAAGCACTCTGTAGCAGATTTGAAGCACATGCGCCATGTTGTTTGGAGTTGTGGCCAAAAGATGAAATCCTGCAACGCTGCTAGTCCCTCGCTCCAAGTTCACTATGGGGATCATGAACGGGTCATGCACTCTTGGTTGCGATTTCGCGTCCACAATAGTGATATGCATCGTTTCCTGTTTATGGAATCCTCAATTGAGCTCCATGCTGCCCTAGTACACCTTTGCCATGATCGGGTGTCAGGTTCCATACCACTGCAAGCATTCGGAGGGTGCCACTTGTGATTGGGCTACTCAGTCGTCTCTCAGAGAGCACGAAGTGCCGTTCGTTTTTTTTGGGGCAGCCTGTTTGTTGTGAGAGTGCATATCTTTGCTAGTTTGGACTGCTTGCTCGGGTGCTTGTTGGTTGCTTCAAGCGGCACCGCCGATCCAAGATGCGGGCTATGACCGTGAGCTACAACGCAAATCTGTATGTGGATTTGCTGAGAGCCTTCGACAAGGCGCTGCGGGGAACCCCCGGGAAGAGGGGCGTGTCTTGAAGAACCAATGGAAGCACTGAGTGTGTTCTATACGCTCACATGGTTGGTTGGGGTCTTATTTTTAAACGTACAAAAACGGTGCGCAAGCATAAATCCACTCATGCATGTTTGCCAGCAATCTGGGGCAACAGGTCAGAGCAAACATAGGCAAGTCAGCAAAACTGACATGTGAGCCTGGTGTCAATCCCTCACCCAGAAAGATGTGTCAGAAAAACAAGCAGAGGGGAGAGCTCTGCAAAGAAGAACTGTGCTCCTGCGATTTCATGTTCTCAATTTGCCCTGGATGGTGGTGAAGACAGAACACTGCGAGGGCAGTGAACTTTGATAGTGAACAACGGACATGAATCCTATTCTGGTACCCACCCAAGGGTCCAGCAATTCCTGTGCGCAGGTGTATTCACCACTTACACCCAACTGGAAACCTTGCCGCGGCTCCCAGTTCAAAGCCTTCTGGTGTTGCCAAAAGACAACCGACGGCACACACTCTAGGGGCTGGTAGGTTTCACTGGTCTCCACCCTGAGGTTGGCGCGCTAATCGCGACAGAGTTTGGTTTGCGACCAATCTCCTGCAAGGTTCCTCAAATCAGGCAGGGTAACCCCAGAAATATGTTGTAACTCTTGTTGAAAACAAGATGCAACCTTAAGGCAGCGAAGATTGGGAGCAGCGTTCGCTGCGCCCTAAACCTTTGTTGTATTCAAGTGCGTGCCTGACTTTTGAGCCTTGTAGCTTTGGCTCTGGGAGGTGCCTCGGATCCTCATTGGCAAAAGTGAGCGATGAGACTTTGCCGTGTCTATGCGCGTGTTTAGGCCCATTGAGATTCCTTAAGGAACGCGCTTCTCCACGATCCGGCCAGGGCTATCAGTCCCCGGCGAGCCCCAAGTTCCAGGACTGCGGGGTCTGGATTGAGTCAGCCAGACTGGGCGAGGGGGTTTTGTGGGTGTGTTTTTTTAGGGAAACCCTTTTTGGTTGGTGTTCAAGGGCAACCAACAGAAAACCACCATTTGTTGGGTTCCCTAATTTTAAGACAAACCCACATGTCTGCACATGGGGAATCCTGGTTTGGACGGTTCGAAAGGGAGACCCGACTCAAGCCGGAACACATTTTGTCAACCCGATTTCTTGAGGCGTGGACGTCTCTAGAATGCATCGTTGAAAGACGATTTTGCTTGGGCATTTGCCCTTCTATGAGGATCGGAGCACCAAAGCCGAGTGTGATTCAAACTTTTTTGGTATTGGTCCCATCACTGACGGTCGGCTTTCTTTCCCCACTTTTTTCTTGAAGAAAGTGAGAGAGAGAGAGAGAGAGAAAGTCTTTGTAAAGTTCGGCAAGGATTGCGAGGGACCAAAGGCCCAAACGAGTTTTGCAGTGCACGACCTTTATAACTCGCCATCGCATTGAATAAGGCTTGTCTCAGAAAACTCCACACTTCTGCACATCCTTCTGCAATCGAGCGACTACATATCAAGCACACTTGAGAGATGTTGTTTTCAACTGGCATAGAGCATTAGCTGGGCATCTATCTTGTTTCACGGATGATGAGCTAGGCTTGTGACTTCTACTGTGACTCCTATTTACTTGTTCTGGTAATCTGTTAGGTTTCATCCACTGACCACAGATGATGACAAGAAAAGGGGTCTGCTTGGCATTGGTGGGATCCGAGAAAGGTTCTCACAAGCTTGCTTGCCCCCTAAGGCTTGCAGAAGTTTTGGGGGCTGGGCCTGTTTGCCTCACCCCACCCCCACGCTGCACCTCACCCCGCCACCCCCAGGGGTCCATGCGATGAGCTGTCGGGCCCGCCGCCTTGGAGACTCGCGCGTGTTGCTCCGAGCAGCGCCGCGAGGCGAGCGAGGGATGGGGAGGTTTTAGGGCTGGGTGCGGAAAATCGTGTTTCGGGCTGCGCGGGGAAGTGACAAAGGTTTGATTTGCCTCAGCCATGGTTGTGTTTTGTCAGTTTTTGTGATAGGGAAACCTCGTCAAAGTAGTCAAGCGGCCATGGGTGAGTGGGCATGCACGGTATCGCAGAAAGCTCTGTGGCTTCCACAATGCAGCAAGGGGGAGAGGTTTGCCCAACTGGAAGCCCCAGAGAGAAGATCAGAGTTGGCCCTTTGGTCCTTGCACACATATGGCCGTGTCTCAAATAGGGAACCCCAAAATGGATTCGCTTTCCTTTTCAATTCCCTTCAAGCCCAACCAGAAGGCTACCCTCAAAAAGCATACCCGTATCGTGTTTACTTCCCGTCAAAGACATCAGTTGAGCAAGGGAGAGCTCGCCGGCCACGAGCAGTCTCCCAGAGGGTCTCATGGATTGGTCTCGCGACCAGTTCCCCCAACTTGGCAGAGAGTTTCAATGGTGACCATGTGCTCTGAGGGCAAGCCTGTGAAGTAAACAGCCAAAGCCGACCACCCAACCAAAGCCAACCCACCAACGACTTGCTGCTACCAAACCTTACTAGGAGTCAGCAGCACTTGATGTGCTTAGATAGACACCGAGTAAACTGACGGCAGCCTTGTGGAGCGACACACAGTTTGGCGCTTGCCACTTCGTGCCTCTTGGGACGGGAAGACCTGTTGCATATGTCAAAGGAATCGAGCCTACCAGAAATGCTAGATGCCGTTTTTCCCCCTCAAAAGAAGCCACATGTGGATGGCTATTTTGTTTTTAAATCCTCCTCTTCATGACTCATCACCTCAAGCAGCAAGCCACCTTTGGCATGGGCTGCTGGCGTCTGCTGGAAATTCAACTGAGGAAGGATGAGTTCTCAAATCAGCTAGTTCGGAAAGTTTCTCCTCTATCCCCAGCAAGTCTCCTTGGGCGTGTGTTTTGATCGTGCAGTCAATCCATGGTGAGTGCTGTCTATGGCTTCCGTTCTATTGTCTCTTTGGTTTGCGCCTCCCTTGTGGTTGTAGAAGCCTTGCTTGCACAGACCAACCAGTCCGGGCCTTGAGGGTTGGAGGCAGACACCAGCCGAGGCACCAGGGCTCGACGCACGGCCAATGTTCTTCACTTTGTTCGGCTGCGGTCAGAGATGCGGCCGGACCTTTTCCGCGCGCTGCGTGTCAGCGCGGAAGCAGAAGCGGCCAACTCGTTCGGTTTGAAGGAATAAGGGACAGCTGGGATCTTTGATGGTTTCGTTACTTCTCCCATGTGCTGTTCGAATGGTCTATCCGTCTTGAACATTGCGTCCTTTGCGGAGTCTTGTTTCATGCGCGAAACCCACGGCGCGGCATGGGTTGCTGGGCGTTTTAACGCAAGTCAGCGGGGCCGTGTACTGGCGTTTCGGGGAGGCTGGTACTCGTGCCTCGCGGCTGGGGCGACCCGTGCGAATGACACAAGGACAAGCCCAGGGGTACATAATTTTACTTGCAGTATTGTGATTTGGAGGCTTGTTCCCTGAATGGTGCAATACTGTGGTTGGACACGTAATGATGCTGGACGCAAGGGCATGGCCAAGAGATCGGGGCGCTCCCTATCAGCTCCAAGATTGAACTTCAGAGCGTTTCTTGTGAGGGGCCGAATTCGGTGACACGACGCACCCCTGGGTTCCAGTGCCTTCTGCTTACGCAGAAGGCTAGAACCTGTGGCATCTAGCCACAGAGTGGGGAGGAGGGGGGGACCAACATCTTCTGGTGCGATCGGTTGATTCAGTGAGGGTTGCTCACTTTGTAAGGGTGCACTTGGCCAATAGTGGACCAGGCGCATGGATCCGGTGCTTCTAAACATCAATCAATCCCAGTTGACCCTACTGGTTGCCATGTACTTGTCCTTACTGTAGTTTCGATACGGCCTGCATAGGGTGACTGTAAACAATAGGCGGCTTGTGCGCAAAGACCGAAAGCGTGTGGAGTGGGTTTGGCGTGACGCTTTTTTGAGAAACGCAGGTTGACCTTCAATTCTGAATGTAGCCTCATTCTTTTTTAAAGGAAATGGCTCGAGCTAGGAGGCCCCGCAATGGCCTATAGTTGTGTCGCTTCCAGAAATCTCGAGGCATCCCCACTTGCACGCCTCACTCTGCGGCAGAATCGCTGGTGCCGAATTGCTAGGAGCCAAGTTTTTTACCGCCTGGGGAAGAGGCTCGGCTGGTTGTCCCCAGCCTTTTTAGACATCTTTTATTAGAAGCTTGCAGCGCCGACAAGCATCTGATAATGCAAACTCATCACGACAGCTAAATTAATGGTTAGCCAGCTAACAAAGTAGCTAGTTGATCAGATAGTTGCTTAGCTAGCTATGTAGATGTTTTGGCTTATTTGGTGTTTTCGGGTTTCCGGGGGGGCTTGCTGCAATTCTTCTTGAATCTCAGGTTCTTGCAAGTCACATTCTCAAATCTCTCACAGAAGCTGGCAAGCACTCGTGTATAAATTCATCTCAGAGAATACTTTGACTCCAGCGGCGCTTTTCTGTTTCTGTCAGTGGCTTCCTCTTGAACCAACCCTCAAAACGTACAAACTCGAAGTTTTGGGTACAGGGCCTTGCAGAAGGGTCGGTTCTAGAATCCAAGGGGGTTTCACCTTTGGGCGATTGGTCCCGTGTTGGGTAACATGTCGGGATGATTTTGTCTATGAATCTTCCGTTTGGAGACCTTGAGCCAGAAATGGTCGAAATGTATCTCGATGTAGAGGGGATGACCTGGGGTTTGCCACTCACCCCGCCACCCCAAGAGTACATTGCGGATCAGATGAGTCATCATTTTGGTAAAACAAAGCAACGACACATGTCTATCAGCGACACACATGTATATCTAGAGGCAACTGCATGGGCCATTGGGGGGTTCCCTTATTTCCATTCAGTATATATATACATATATGTAAGGCACTATATATTTATATTCCTTTTGCAGGACCTTTGAACATCTCCCACTGCCACAAGTATCCTTTGACACCGGCTTAGCGTGTGAACAGGTGGTATATCAAGGACCAAGCAGATACTGTATCTCTCAAGCTGCAGAATGGCAGAACCCCATGCATACGAGCGCCGATAGTTTTTTGCAGAAGTCTTCCGACCCTTTCCCCAGGAAGTCATTGGCAGGAATGCTGCTCAATCGCCGAATCGCCCGATTCGCGCAGAGCAGGATTGACTTCCTTTCTCGCAGGTGAAAAGACATGGCCCACACGTTTCCTCCATGGGAACTGGATGAATGTTGGTGGTGTGGCGTGTGGCACAATCCTCGGGTTGACGTCCGTTGTCAGTTGTCCAGTGGAGCCTTCCACTGGCACTGTCTCCAGTATCTCCCTGCTGTGTTAGCCGGACTTGGACGAAACGGGAGTCTTGGTTTGGTCATTTGGCAGACCCAAAACGGCGGGATATGCGACTTCAAGCCAAAGCTTTCCAGAGCACCCACTGATTTGCAACGTTTCGTCAAGATGACTTGGTAGCTCTTCGGATTGATGTTTGCCAGTGTGATACGACATCTACATTTGGCCATGACCGGCGCAGTATGCACTAGTCTGACTGGACATAATCCTTACTCGCCTTTTCGTTTGGGATCGGCGTTTTTTGAGCCCATTCTTGCGAAACTTAGCCCCCCGTCCCCGGAGGGCTGATCTCCAATCGCAGAGGGCCGCGCCCTGGCCATACTCATTGACTCATTGAACATGACTCTGATCGTTTTTGGAGACGAGCCAAAGTGGGTCCCAGCTGCACGGGACAGGGGTCAGGTGGAAAGAAACCATGTGCGAATCCCAGAGCCTCTTTTTTCCCGATGCTACGCTTTTCTCCCAGAGAACGAATTGCTGGGCTGTTCAAAGGTTGTCTTTAGATCCTTGGGCTGCAAAGCAGTCGCCTTTAACAGCCCATTTGGAACAGCCCAGATTTACAACGGTGCTTGAAAGGATCATCTAGACACAATTGGTATCATTTGGAGTTAGAAGCATTCTGAGTTTTTCTGGTCACGCTCCCCGAATGCTGTCACAAGACCATGGAACCTTTGTGCAATGTTGACGGATTGTCCATACTCCGCTTGGCACAGCTGACTGACGCAGTGAGCCCAAATCGATCTGGGGCAGGTTCAGAGGCCAACTATGAAAGAGCAGAACATAGGTGTCCTTCTTAGATCAGTTCTTTCAACATAGTGAATCACTGGCGGATGTAGCAACAAACACCTCTTCCAGCGTACACCTCGCGTCGGTTCCAAAGAGGTCCTTGGCACTGATGCATTCTCCGATGAAAGTTCTTTTCCTTGCGCCCTTCGTTGGGGAAAAACAGTGCCAGAAGTCTGGAGAGTCTTGGTTTTCGCTCAGAACGAAGCTCAATCCTTGTTCTTTTGTAGCATATTCATCATATTCATATATATATATATATATATCCACACGCGTCGGCCTGAAAACAGAAGTTTTCGCCATGCCGAAGCTGGATGAGTTCTTGGATGAAGTCGTCAAGGCTGGGTGTCCAGTCCGACACTAAGAGCCACCGAGCAGCATCAAAGTGCGCAGAAATTGCACGAGGTAGTCCATACATTTGTAAGATTGTTTCAACCGTCTTTCCTTGAGCGTACCTTTTGCAGCTTTGTTTCAAATGGCAGGGAGGCAGGCCACTCCATTTTTGAGTGCCTGGTAGCGCGAGGCTTGACGTTTTTGACGGTACTGGAGTGTTGTGTAAGGGGTCCAAGGGTTGAAAAGCTTGGGCGTGACCTGCTCCAATGTGTCAGTTGAGCTGGATGAGGGGAAAGTCAGTCAGACAGAAAGATGTACCTGCTTTTGCTTTGGCCGTACCTGATGTCCTTGTTTGATCAGTGCTGCCTGCCGCCCAAAGATCTTGACATTTTTCCCGAAGGTCGCATGTTCGTGTTTTCTGCCACCTGCATGTGCCTTGCCTCCCTTTTATGCACAGTTATTGGAACACTTCCTTTTGTACAGGTCTGCTCAGTGACACTTTTGCTTATTTCCCCAAAAGACTTGGCTCTTTTGTTCCATAGTGTTTGTGCTTTCTATCTTCTTGGCAATGAGCATTCAAACTACATACGACTCCCGTCCTTGCTACTCTAACGCCTGCAGCTCCGATCATTTCCCCTTTATATGCATTCCCTTTCACCTCTTCATTTTCTCCCTTTACTCCCTTCATTTCCCATTCCTTTATCTCCCTTTCATTTCTCCTTCATTGATTCATTGCCAAAAGTTTTGTTTTTTGGGTTTCTCGAGTTTTTTCTGGTATTGTTTGGTTTTTCAGAGTTGTTTGTTTTTTGAGTAAACAACGAGAGACGCTGATGGTTGTTTGATTCTTAGTCATATTTTATGGAAAGCCAAACACCCGCGAGACGAACACTGTTTGGCCAAAAGTTTCTTTTTTTTCCCCATGGTTTTTCTCCTTCATTTTCCTCTTCACGTCCACATCATGTCCCTTGCATTTCCCTTTCTTCATTTCCTTCATTTTCCTCAATGTCATTCTGATAATGTTGGTCATGCTGATGATGCTGATGATGCTGGTAATGCTGGCAATGCTGGTAATGCTGGTAATGCTGTGTGGCCGAGGATGCAGCGGCGGGGGAAACAAGCCGCAAGCGTAAGGATTTAGTCTACGAAAAGGGACCGTCTTGGAATCGCTGGGCCCGACGGATGGATGGATGGACGGAGGGATGGATGGATGGATGGATGGATGAATGGATGGATGGATGGATGGATGAATGGATACAGATAGACAAGCAGATAGATGGATAGACAGATAGACCCCCCCAAAAAACAAGCAACAAGTCCATTTGTGGGTCTGGGGAGGGGTAAGGCATTTCTTTTGTCCAACGCGCCGTCTGTTGTCGGCGACATGGCTAACACACAATCGCCCCAGGTGTGTAACCTTGTAGTCGAAACCATTTTCCTTCGTAAAGCACTAGTGATGCCAGGGGTGTGGGGGTGTTGACTGACTAAGGTCCAAAATGCCGCTTTCCGTTGAGACAGGTGGCGGTTTTAAGGGGGCACAAGAGGATAGCGTACAGGGAAACCAATGGAAGCCAACCGGTTGGCGGGAACTCTATTTCATTCCCATACGCTGAACATCAAAAAGAGCAAGACCAACTATTTATGGTAAGTCAATACCGAGCACAAAGCGTCAAAAGAGAAATGGAGCCCGAGGAAAGCTTGAGACGTGAGTCCGACATTTGCACTGTTGCTCGAATAGTTGCTATGCTTCTATGCACTGTA